GGAAACTCATGGTTAGTGAGCAGGAAGAGAAGCCATAAAAGGATTAAAACAGGAAAGAAAAAAAAAAAAAGAAAATCTTAATGGAACTAAAAGGGTAGTGGCATTGAACCAACACAGGTGTACTCTGATGTCCTGGCAGAAAGCTATCCAGAATGCGATATGAAATTCCCGGAAATGCCGCACTGTGGGAACACAGGATGTGATACAGGGTCTAGCACATCTCAACAATGGGCCTGGTAGCAAAACATGCCCATGACTTCTCTCTATTCCCCAAACAACAGATTCCAAAATTTCAACGTCACGAATGATCTAAAGTGGCATCCCAAACCTCAGTCAATCATGTAGCTCAATAATTGGTTTAGGGAATAGTTATTGTGGTCATTAACTGACTTAAATAAATTTTCAAAAATCTATAAAGAATCATCAGTACCCCAATTTAACTAACTGAAGTGCTCTGAAACAAAAATATTGTAATAATTTTCAAGCCAAGTCAAATGAAAGCTAATTTCCTACTATTTCAAAGAATTCTTCCACACACCCAACTGTACCAAAAGCAACTGATTAAAACTGTTTTAAAGTAATATTTATACAATGTCAAACAACTGGTCACAAAATCATTTTAGATGAAATGACAGACTGATAACCACCAAAATACTGTGCTATAAAGCAGCCAAATTTTCAAAAGTCAAATTGAATGATGTATTTTCGTATTTGGTGAGCTATACTCAATCAGCTCTTACGGATTTCTACTTAAAATGGTAATAAAATGTTTAGCCAACTCAATTTATATTTTATTATTGCAGTGTTCCATTCTCCTATAGTTAAAAAGTGACATATTGAGGATGCTGGCCTGCTTTTGGCACTAAACAGCTACAAGCAACTGATCCTAATGGTTTTAAGTTTGAGCATTTGGCAGGACTATTTGATAAACTGATACCTTCCTTCTAAGTGTTTTCCCCTTCTGACCTAGATTTTTTTTCCTTCTATTTCTCTTTTAGAAAAATCTACATTTTGACAAACCTTTCTAGATCTAGTCATTATATAATTCATACATTAAAAAAAAGAGAATATTTCAATTTGGAACACTGTCTCCATGAAGCTTATTAGTAACAAGATTTCAAATAAAAATTCAGATACATGTTGCCACTGACATATATAGTTAGCTACTTTGCTTTCAACAGGTAGCCACAGAGGTTGCTGTCACTACCACAGATCCATCTCCACTCCTCCTTCCTCCCATCACCTGAGACCAGGAGGCTATTGCCACGAAAAATGTATCAGGAGAAAAGAGGCATTTCTGAATTTCAGCAAGTGAAAAGCAAGCATACCAAGGGAGCAGGACAGTGTAGGTTGCTACAATAGAAGAGCAGACTCTATGGAGAGAAAGAGGAAAAGGATGTGAGATGAGAATATGGAAAGGAGGTACAAACATTACAAAAATTACTTTAGCCACTTGAGATTTTTATCTAACGTCAAGCTTATGCCCAAAAGGTTGAGGAGAAAATGTCATTTTTCTACCCACACTATAAGGAACTAAAAAATTAATGCAAGAAATTAAAATTATTGCTGGTTAGCCTAGAAACCTAGCCACCAGTCCTAAGTTTTTATGAGAAAATGGATTCCAAGTTTCAAACGCATTCAACCAATATCTGAGTGCAGTAAACAAGATAGACATGGTCCCAGCTCCCATGTCCAATGGGAAAATAACTAAAAGAAGGTAAACAAGCAAATAACATTACACACTGTGATGGGCGCTATGGAGAAAACAAGGTATGGAGCCAGGAAATAGTTGAGGGTGCACATTTTATTAGATAAGGTGGTTGAAGACGATGAAGACGCAGCATTTATACCAAATTCAGAGGAAGAGAAGGAGCTAGCCATTCCAAGAGCAAGGGGAAGAACAGTCCAAGAAAGGGAGAACAGGCCCTGACCCAAGAGTGAGCTTATCTTTCTTATTCATACCTCTGGGATCACTATGGCTGGGCAGTAGTAAACCATATGAAAGAGTGGGATAAAATAAAGTTTGAAAAGCCAGACAATGCAGAGGTTTATAGACTTTGGCAAGGAGTTAAGATTTTATTCTGATGTTATAGAAAGCCATCAATTAGCTTGAAAAGGTTCCTATAATTTTGTAGCACAGCCTATTTGTTAACTGAGGAAATGTTCTGATAAATTGTAACAGTAAAAGTGAGTATTTTAAACGTTTAAAAATTCTCATCACCGGGAATTCAGTTTATGTTAATACTGATCCTATACCTATTGTACTGTCCTATACCTATTGTAACCTTTCCACTTGTAGTCAGCAAACTCCCCTCCTCTGCTATAACCTGGCTCAAACGTGATACTCCTTTCATAGCACTTACCACATTTTGAACTTTTTTGCTAGATGTTGTTGTTTTTTGGTCTTTTCCCCACACTGGTATGTAAGACACAGGAGTGCAGGGGCCTTGCATGTCTTAATATTCTTTTCCCAGAATCTCAGACCATACCTAACATTAGGTAGGTAATCAGTACTTATTTGTGGAACAATGAACAAATATGGTTCATCTAATATTTAATGAACACCTAGTTGCTCTAGACCCTTGAGGAAACAGAAGGATTGAAATATGCCATCCATGCTCTCAAGCTCAAAGTAGTGGTGGGGAGTCTTGTAAACAGCTAAGTTATACTGTGAACAAACTGTTGTGGGAATCCAGAGGAGGGGGCACATATGGTCTACCCAAATTCTTCTTCGTGCAGGCACGAATATTTATATGAAAAGTCCAACAAAGGTACAAAAAATAAAATCAGAGATATTTAATGAATACCTTTACTAAAATTATACAAAATTCGTGGACCTTAAATCTATGATGTAGAACATCTGTGCTTATAGCAGCTGAGGATAATAGCATGCTGCCTACATTATTCCTGTGTTCAGCACTGGGGAACACCTGACAAGTATCACACTAAAAAAGGAATCTCCAACTGCTCAGCAGAGCATAAGGTAAGCTTACACAATATCCAACCTGTAGTGTGAAATTCCAGAATTCCCATCCTCCCATGTCTAAGGGTTCCAAGTTTTGAGCTGTGCTGATTCAGCAGTATGTTTATAGTCCTCTCACAGGAATTGGTGACTACACAGCTCTTTCCACTTTTATGGCACGACTAGAGGAAAATACTAATGGCGAACAATATTTGGGAGGCAGAGCAAATTGTAAAAAGCAAGTTAAAAAAAAAACTAATAGGATCACAGGATTACATTCAGCATTATCTAACAAGTGATACATAGAACAAGTTAGCAAAAACAAAAGCCTTTTCAGCAGACTTGGAAGCTAAAACAGTACTGTGTAACACAATTTAGATCTACTGTTTTGCTGAAGTGAAATCTTGCATTCCTTAAAAAAAAAGGAAGCAACTTCCTCCAGAAACAAACAAACAAAGCCAAAGCCTAGCATTTTGTAGATTATTTTCCTATTCCCTTGAAAGAGACAGCACAGCGTGACCCTCAAAAAGAACATCACCAGCACTTTAGCCAGCTTAAAGAAGTCTACTGCTGCCTAGAAAACACATTGACTATGCAATAAAATATAACTGGGGTTATAAAACAAGTTTACAGTTAAATATCAAATATATAATAGTGTTTATAACGTAAATTTTAAGAGACTGGGTGTGGGAGAGGAAGAAGAATGAAGTTATGAAACCACAATTGTAAATATTCAATAATAATCTATTACCTGGACAACAAATAAAGACACCTCTGTCAGAACAGGTTAATACAAGAGGCATATTTATCTAGCTTATTTCTTAAATGGCAGGGCTGTAAAGACAAGTTGTACAAGGGGCTTCTGACTAGCTTTTGCTCAGCACAAAACGAATATGTAGCAAACTGCTTTTAGAACTTCAATTTCTGGAATTTTACGTGAACGCCAATGGTTCTAAAGTCCTTACGCCCTAAATGCCTTCACCAGTCTTACTTGGGTTGTTAGTCAATTCAACACCTCCACTGAACACATGCCTACTAGTATGAGAGTAGAAACCGAATCTTTATTCTTTGTTCACATACAAGACACTAACATTTGTTTAAAGATAATTATGAATTTGCCTACTACCGTAACAAGGATTCATCAATGAACTGAGACTTCAAGCAAAATTATATATTAATACCAATGATGCAAAACGTCAAAAATGACATAAAAACGCCAAGCACCGAACTGGAGAAAAAACAAGTTAAACGTAAAGATCTCATTCATCCAGTATTCTTGGAATACCGGCAAAGACTAGCAAACCCTCCTGTCCTTTCTCCTTCCAAGAATACTGCTGAAATAAGCCCTAGCTGGCAACCCTCAGAGCTTGTCAATATATCCTGAAATTTCTAGAAAAGTTGCTGACCAAGAAGTGCGGCCCTAGCCACGAATCACCAGCACCGTATGCTAAAGGGAAGGCAAATCCGGCACAGGATGTAATACGTTTGTGGACCTGGCAGCACCTGAGCAGGAGGGTGTGGACCTGAGAGCCAAGGTCGGTTCCGCGCGGGCAGCGCCCTCGGCCCGCCCAGTCCGGGCCGCCGAGGTTTTCCCCACCCCGACTCCCAGCACAGCAGCCCCCGCACTCTACCGCTGGCAATGCCCCATATCAATCTCTCCATCCGGGGCCATAGGAGCAGTCGCCCCTCGCCCTCCCCACAAGCGCGCGCGAGGCAGGACTGCGTTTGCCTCGCGCGAGTCCATACACAGCTATATTCCAATGCCCCACCCCAGAGCTTGCAGCCATCTCTCCAGCCCTCTTGAGAGTCGTGTCCCCGGACATACCCTTCACACCCTGGCCGTTTTCCAAAGACCGAGCCCCGCAGCCTTACCCCGGCCCCCAAAAGCACACCCCTGGAAACAGACCTCCGCCTCCAGCCGACTGAGTGACTCTGATCCGCGGCAGCACGTTCACGACACTTTCGCGATTGCCGTAAAGGGATATAGGGGCGGAACAGGCGGCGGCGCGAGCGCGCACCCCCTAGTGGAGAGCGCGCCCCGGGGCCGGCTTAGCTGCTCGGGTGCGCGCTTCGGGGCCTCTGTGCTGCCGGCAGCCTCCGGAGCCGGCAGTCAGTACGGGCAGAGACATCCAAGCAAGGTAGGCCAAAAAGGGGATGAGGACCGGCCCTAGTTCCCACTAAGGGGTATATATCAGAGAATGGGATCGGGAGAGTAGGGACGCGGACGCTGCCGGGAGCCCTCCACCCCCGCGGTGGGCGCGCGAGTCGCGTGCCAGCTCGCCCTGCCTCCAAAGACTAAGCTGTACGACGCGCGGGAGAGGGACCAGGTGCTGGCCGGAGCCGCGGGCGGGCTGCGAGGGGGCCTTGGGGGGGGGCGGGAGTGGGTGCAGGCTGGGCTCAGGTCTCCGCTACTCACCTTTACGTCCGGGTTCTTGCTCTCTCCCCCCAGCTCCCCTCTTCTCCGCGCCCCGTTTGCCCCAAGCCCGACCGAGCTCTGCCTCTCGCATCTTTTCCCGGCACCAAACAACGCGTTAATCCAACTCTTCATCCAAGTGCTTCGCGCTTCCGGAAGAAGGTAGCGGTGAGTGTAAATAATTCTTTGGTTTTATTTGTTTTAAGCGGTTACCGAGAACCTTAGCCCCAGTCCCATGAAACACCGTGGTTGAGTATGCATTCCCTTTGTCACTCCTGGGCTCAGATTCCTTTTTGCGGGGTGGGGGGGAGAAAGGGGAGGAAGGTTTGAAATTGAGGTATGTGGTGACCTTGTGTTTACTCGAAGCTCAAGTCTACGCGGAGTTTTGTCGCGGGAAGCCCAATACCGAAAGGTAAATGGCTGGTCCTTTGTATCCTCACAACCGTGCTTACATTAGGATACATTTACAAAACACCACATTTTCCTAGTTCTCCCAATTTAAGTTTGTAAATCAGTACCCAAATGCAGCTCTAATTTGCCGTGCATCATCAGATTCTCCCCGACTTCTCTCCCTGTAACATTTGATCCAACTTGTAAAACAGTTACTTATTTTCTAGACTATTTAATTTTTAACCGTTACGAGAATATTACATTTGTTAGAAGGCCAAATTAGAGTTTAGAAAAATAACCATTTACTATTATGCTTTGCATTGGGCATGATTCTGTGTACCTAGGGCTTTATTTCTTCACTTGGAATATCCAGAACTTACTTTTTTATTGTTCCTAAGCAGTCACCACTTAGAGGAGACAGCGTAAGGAATTCATCTTTTCACTGGTGGCATTTAAATATTTGTGAAATTCAAAAATTGTAACTGCAGTTCTGATTCACAGATCTTCAAGGAAAGCAGAGATAGGTGAGAGATGCAAGAACATTTTGTTAAACACTTTCACTACTATATGAAGGTTATTCCTGCATATTTTCAAGTATCTTGAAAAGTTTCTTAAATTGTTAACCATTAAAATTCTAATTTTGCTTGGCTGGCAGTTAGCCAGCCAAGCTTCCAGCTTTCCAGTGTGATGATACATAGGCAATAGTAGTCTTCCTCACCTAGTCGGTGCACTTAAATTTCTCAGTAGTCCTTAGCAAACTGGTAAACTATTTCAAGCCCTGCTTTTCCTCTAAATTGTCAGTTTAGATAACTAGAACCCTCAAAGCCTAAGGAGATAGGAATCCAAGATGATTCATATATACAAAGAATGAAGTGTTGTCATTCCCCATCCCTGTGGCTAATTGTGGTTGTACAAATCACCTTTCATTATTATATTGTATGCTTACTCTGTACTACTCTGAGGAACAGAGCTACCTTACAAATCAGAATACTGAAACTCAGAGAAGCTAAGTAACTTGCCAGAAATCATACAGCTGGGATGTGATAAAGCTAGGATTTGCACTTAGATAAATCTGATCTTACAGCTGTGTTCTTTCCATTGCATCACAGGGACTAGTCAGTGCTTTATTTGGCTTAATAATAAGCTATCATTCTTTCCTCATTATTGTCTTTCCTTCTGTGGGAAGGAACTCAGTGTTTTTCATTTTATTTTATCCTTTTTGAGATCAGCGAAAGATGTCTAATGTGAGAAAGGATGAGAAAATTGATATCCCAGATTTAAAATATTATTTAATTCCAGATGGTACATCATTATAAAATACACAAGTGTCAACTCTTTAAAGAAAAAGAGAAAACGTTAATAATGCTATAGCATAGTGTTCTATCCATGAACAAGATTGGTGCATTGACTTGAAATTTTACATGTTTTAAAAGCCTGTGGGTCGAAACAACCTCTATTTTCTTTGTGTGTGGATTTCAGGATTTACAAAAGGTGCAGTTTTGGGCAGATTTGAAGACTGGTATTTTGAGAACTTGTAAAACAGGTAATTTGTCTTTTACATTCTAAAAGAGGAACAAACATTTATTGACCACCTATGAGAGCATCTTTACATATATTATCTTATTTAGTTCTTGAATAAACCTCTCTGAAGCGGGTATTATTTTAGACCATTTACTGAAAGTTACCGGTATCAGCAATGTGTTTAGGTTCTTTACTTGTGCTATGTCAGTGTAATTCCTGCAATAATTATCCAGCTTAGTCCAATAGAACTTTTCCACGATGATGGAAATGTACCATATTTTCACCATCCTATATGGTAGCCACTAGACACCTGTAGCTTTTGAGCACTTGAAATGTGTCTAGTACAACTGAGGAACTGAAATTTAAATTTTATTTTATTTTAATCAATTGAAATTTTAATTTAAATAGCCACATGTGGCTAGTGGTGACTATATTAGACAGTGCAGCTTTTACCAAAAATATTATTGCCATTTTTCAAAGAAGAAACTGGTTCAGAGAAATTAATGAAGTTTGCCCAAGTTTGCACAATTTTATTTAATAAAACGTTTTTGAGCAGAAAAATGTTTTAGGACTGTTAATTTGGCAGTGCACATAGAATGGATGGATGGGAAGAAAAAAATAGGCCAAGAGAATTGAGAATCTGATTTGAGTGTTTACACTGGCAGCTAGGAAGAAGAATGGTTGCCAGTGACTGAAGGTAGAAATGCCGTCATTTAGTGACAACATGTGAGGGCTTTGGATGAGAAAACCTAAGGTTACTCTGAGGCCTTAGAATCTGGATAGCCTGGAAAAACGGTAGTACGAACAGATCTTCCTCCACTTACAGTGGGATTATGTCTCAATAAACCCATTGTATGCTGAAAACATCATAAGTTGAAAATGCATTTAATACATATAACCTACAGGAACATGGTAGCTTAGCCTAGCCCACCTTAAACTTGCTCAAAACACATTAGTCTACAGTTGGGCAAAATCATCTAATACAAAGCCCATTTTATAATAAGGTGCTGAATATCTCATGTAATTTATAGAATTCTGTACTGAAAGTGAAAAACAGAATGGTTGTCTGGGTACAGAATGGTGGTAAGTGTATCGGTTGTTTACCCTTGTGATTTTTGTGTCTGCCTGGGAGCTGCATCTCGCTGTCACAAGAATATTGTACTGCATATCACTAGCCTGGGAAAAGGTCAAAATTCAAAGTAAGGTTTCGATTGAATGTTTATTGCTTTTGCATCATCATAAAGTGGAAAAATTCTAAGTTGAACTGTCGTTAAGTTGGGGATCTCCTGTACTGAAATGGAAAAATAATGAACCTTTTTGGGGTTTACGAGAACTTGGTTTGGGTTATTGAGTAATTTTTGTGAGCAAGGCCCTCTTCTCTGCTTGGGCAGAGAAGTGAAGTCCCTCACCAAGGATTTTATCCACTTCAGACACCCTCCCAAACTTTTATACTCTAGAAGATATTGAGCTGTAAGAGATGTGCAAATCAAATGTTCTCAGAGGAAGGGGTGTTTATTTCCAGATGCAAAGGGATTAGGGAAGGTTGTGTGTGGAAGATGGTATTTCAGCTTGATTTTGAAGACTAGGAAGGATTTGGACATGAAAAAACAATTAAAGGAAGAGGTCATGTGGGAATTCCCTGGTTGCCTCATGGTTAGAATACCCGGCTTTCACTGCTGTGGCCAGGTTCAATCCCTGGTCGGGGAACTGAGATTCCCGTGAGCTGTGTGGGGTGGCCAAAAAAAGTAAAATAAAATAAAATAGGCTCTCCCATTCTCCCTAGAGGAAGACAGTGCTTTCCCCCAACTTTGAAATGAACCATCGCCTACTTGTCCCTCCAGTGAAATCCTCCGACATCTATCTCTACCACTCCTACTCTCTTCTCTGACATTATCTACTACTCTGGAACCTGGCTGGGACCATTCCTTCCAACATACCTGAGACTAATGCGACCCACAGAATTCTGGGAGTTGTAGTGTTTGTTTCTTTGTTTTAAAACAAAGAGGTCATACTTCTAGCAATGGGGTGGACAAAATGTTTTGAAAATCCCTTTTGCCAAAACACCGAAATGCTGAATATATTAGCCTTGTAAATGCATAGCAGTTCACGTAGGAAAGAAACAAATTCTCAGGACTAATAAGTCGAAGAGAGCTGACACCAGAGTAGTAAACCAGTAGTGTGTCTCTTTTGGGACCTTTGAAATAAAGTACAATCAAAGGTAAATGATAAGCTCCCCCTGCTCACCACCCAAGGTAGAGAGATAGAATTCATACCCCTTTGACCTCCCAGGTGTACAACTTCCAGAGACACTATTCACATGATACAGTTTGTGTAGATGATGCCTGTGTGTCAGGGGATGACTTTTCCATAAAAAGTAGAATGTAAATATTTCTGCTTGAAATTGTACAACTCATGGCCTTGGAGAACCACCTCCCCCCAAAGCCAGGACGCTCAAAAATCTATACACTCAATGAAAGGTGGGCTAGGAAAAATATCTCCTTCCTGGCAAAGGGGGATCACAAAGAAATTTGTTCATTTTCACCACAACTCCAGGTGGGGGAATAAAGATACCACATAAGAACTTGAAACTACAGGACCTGTCATCACTCAGATTCATGGTTCAAATTTACTTATCTACATGGTCTAAAAAACCTGGAAGCCAAGAAATTAAAAGTCGGCCCAGGTTCATAATGTGCCAGAGTGCTTGGCAAAAGTAAATACAGACCCTCCCTGGAATGATTCACCCTTAATCTAAGCCTCTTAGAATACTCCCAGTTAAGATCATCCAAACAGGAGCTCATAGTCAAAAACAGAAAAACACATGTACAAGGGCTGGCAGAACCAACAAATAAGGAACTAGACTCCTAAAGATTTTAGAATCGAATTTATCAGAAACAGGGCTTCCCTGGTGGCACAGTGGTTGAGAGTCCACCTGCTGATGCAGGGGACACGGGTTTGTGCCCCGGTCCGGGAAGATCCCACATGCCGCGGAGCGACTGGGCCCATGAGCCATGGCCGCTGAGCCTGCGCGTCCGGAGCCTGTGCTCCGCAATGAGAGAGGCCACAACAGTGAGAGGCCCACATACTGCAAAAACAAAAACAAAAACAACAACAAACAAAAACAAAATAACATTTAAAGAGATGAAAGGAGAAACATGAAAGATTTTAGAAGTTAATCAAAATTTATTGAAATTGAGAATTATTGTCCCAGAAACTTATGTTGGGGAAAGTCCTATAGGAACTTGGCAAGGAACTGTCATGATTAGCTAAACAGAAGAGTAAAATTGATGGAATGTTAAGGGCTGACAGGAAAAAAAAAAAAAAACGGAAAAGAGGAGATTATGACAATTCAGACAGGAAATTACTCAAATCAAGTGTATAATGGTGACTTTAGGGATAAAGGAAAAGAAACTTATTTGGCAAGATTTAAATGTACATATTTTAGCAGCAAGTCAGATGATCAGAGTAAATGACAAGTACAAGTCAAAAATGGCTGAGGTTTTATTATCTGGAAGGTCAGTCTGAGATGAGGAAGCTGAGCACTTTGGAGGATTGTGGAGATTAGAATTGTAAGTTTTTACAGAGTCCTTGGGAAATACTAAATTTCAGTCCATCACACTATGAAAAAATACTCCTCCAAATACGAAATTATTTTCACATGTGTAGGAGTAATTTCTTATAATTTGAAAATATTTCTGTATTTATTCTTTTTAATTAAATGCATGAAAATACATTAATATTTTCTAATTCATATTATTGACCTCTTATTACTTACTAACATCGTCAGTCTGGAATTTAAGGGAGAAAATGGTGACAAGTGGTATGTGTATATGTAGGCCCTTTCAAGTTTATTGAGGAAGATAAAACCAAACAAGCGAGTAACAGTTAAGTGTGATGAATGACCTGGTTGGGGAAGTGAGCCTGCTGTTGGGAACAAAGCAGGTACACAGCGGAAGCTAGAAGAGCTGAGGCTTGAAAATGTATAGCAGTTAACTGGTGGTAGTGGGGCAGGAGGGGTGACACCATAGTCTTCTAGTCATCCAGGCAAAACAACGTGCACCAAGTTTCAAAGGTGCGCAAGAGGGCATGACACACTTGACGATCTGAGAGAAGTTTGCTGCGGCAGTATAGCATGGTGACTGGTGTTAGACTGGAACTGCCTGAGTTTGAGTCCTGTCTCTACTGCAGCCCTATGACCATGGGCAATTCTCTTAACCTCTATAATTCTGTTGTGAGGAGTAAATGAGATCATGTATTTAAGGTGTTTAGTAGCCTTGCTGGCACAGTAAACACTGTGTTTGCTTTTGTAATGGTGATGAAGATGATGACAGCTAGGGCAAGGAACTAGGAGCAGACACAGAACTGGCGGGAGAGGAATACAGAAAGGTTAAGTAGAGATTGGACAACAAAAAAGACCTTCTAGACATGTTAAGGAGGAAGGACAATTTATAAGGGCATAGGGGAGGCACTAAAAGTTTCTTTGGAGGAGAATAAAGTGGTCAGGTTGGTATTTTAGAATTAGAAGGTTCATTCTGATTTTAAAGTCAAGTCTAGGTGGTTATAATAATTATCTGGTCAAGAAATGATGGTGGTTTAAGTAGGGTAGTGGCAGTGAAGATGGGGGAACGGGTAGACTTGAGGAAATTTAGGAGGTGGGATAAACAGTCCTTGGTCCTTGGTTACGTGTGGAAAGATGGGGGAGAAAGATAGTGTCTAGATATGGCAAGTGGGTGAATCTTGGTTCCATTAACTGAGAAACTGAAGGAGAGCAGGTGTCAGTAGATGGTGTGGGGGCCGATGAGAAGTGAAACAGCTGAGGATGATAAGTACAAGGTTGTGGGATGGGATGGCTAAAGTAGAATAGCTGAAATCCGCGTGAATAATCTTTTCTAATTTGTTTTTCTCTGCTTCAGGAGACGTGTTTGAGATGTGGTGGTTTCAGCAAGGCCTCAGTTTCCTTCCTTCAGCCCTTGTAATTTGGACGGCTGCTGCTTTCATATTTTCATATATCACTGCTATAACACTTCACCATGTTGACCCTGTTTTGCCTTATATCAGGTCAGTGAAATGTATTCTTTTATGGAGAATGGTATGTCTCATTCATATTTTAACATTGAACCCAACATTCAATTTTAACATTTTAAAATTCAACTTTTATGTTTGATATTACAACAGTGAAAGGAACATAAAAAGGAAGTTGTATTTGGCTCTTTCTATGTGATAGAGAAATGTGGAGACAGAGGGCTAAGGTTCAGTTAGTGAATTGTGACACCTCAGTGCCTTGTCTTCCAAATAACTATTTGAGGTCTCAGAAGATAGAATTGGAATTATTCTCCCCTTACCATTAAAAAATGCTAGAGCAACGATAATAATATTAAAAAATAATGGTAATGACAAACATTAATTGATCCACTTACTGTGTACAAGGTAATGTTCTAAGCATTCTTCAGGTCTTAAATAATTGAATCCTTACAGCCACCCTTTGAGGCAGGAACTATCACCCCCAGTTGGTAGAGGAGGAAATAAGGTCCAGGGAGATTAAGTTGTTTGTCCAAGGGCACATGACTCAGTAATTAATGGAACCAAGATTCAGTTTGACTGGGCCATTTGATTCTAGAGACTGTGCTCTTACTCTTTTTTTTTTTTTTTTAACATCTTTATTGGAGTATAATTGCTTTACAATGGTGTGTTAGTTTCTGCTTTATAACAAAGTGAATCAGTTATACATATACACATGTTCCCATATCTCTTCCCTCTTGCATCTCCCTCCCTCCCACCCTCCCTATCCCACCCCTCCTGGCGGTCACAAAGCACCGAGCTGATCTATGACATGTTGCCTAGATCTTTCTGACACATTAAGTATCTAAATTTATTGATAATAGTTTTGAAATTTCAAAACTACTCATGATGTAAGTATGGGTACTCAATTGCATGTGCTATGTCCATAACCCTCTTCCCCCCCAATTATAAAGGCAATATGTGCTTATTATAACAAATTTTAAACACTATTAGAGTGATTATAAAAATAAAAAGTGAAAGACTCTTCCAGCCTCCCTCTAGTTCCTGCCCTTCCAGAGGTGATTAATGGTTTGGTTGATTTCCTTCCAGAGTTTGGTTTGTTTTGTTGTTTGTTGTAGTTGTTTCATTTATTTATTTGTTTACCTTCTGAAAAATAACCTTTCCAACACAGAAAATAGTGAACTTTTAAAGGATGATAAACCAAAAGGCTAAATTTATCTTTTTTAAATGTCAAGAAGAGGTCAGGGCATTGCCATTACATTTGTTGTTACCACTATGGTATGGCGTAGCACAAAGGACACCAACAAATTGAGTCCACTTTGGGAAGATTTACAAAATCCAAAGATATTTTAGAATTTAAGTTTCCAGTTCTAGGAATAATTTTGATAAGTAGTCACCTCTGTTTACCACTCTGCTAGAGGGACATGCAGCTTAAGGAGCCAGTTCATTCTTTAGTAACTCCAGGAGAGCATACATATTCCTGAGCGTCCTTCAGCATTTTTATTTCCCCTTAGAGAACTTGTCTGAGTTCTTTTTCACTTTCATTTCTCTAATGGTACTGCATGTGATTCTCTGATCAATATGACCCCAGGCACTTCCTTTTCTGTCTCTGTCCTTCTACCTTTTAACTTTTTTGCAAATGAACTTAGTATTGTTGCACGGGGAACTTTCTCCAACATTCTAATATATTTAAATTCAATGGTTGAGTTAGAATAGATACTCTGCAGAATTCCTTTCAGTTCATAGACCCTACCTAAAAGGCTTAATTATTAAAGTCCCCAAAAGACATAACCAAATATAAATTTCACTTCAAAGACAATTCACAATTCAAAGACAATTCCACTGCAAGTGTGCTTCAGGTGTTCTCTTAGTTCAAGTAGTGAATGCTCAAGTAGGGTGCATGAGACTAGCCACTGGGGTATAAGAAGAATTTTTTAGAACTTCTATGTATTTTTTATTTCAAAATATTTAAACTTACATTTGGGAATTCCCTGACAGTCTAGTGGTTAGGACTCCACACTCTCACTGCTGAGGGCCTGAGTTCAATCCCTGGTCAGGGAACTAAAATCCCACAAGCCACTCGGTGCGGCCAAAAAAAAAAAACCTATTTAAACTTATATTTAATATATGTATAATAATATGATAAATAACATATAATGATGATCAGACAATTTTTTTTTTGATGGTGTGTGATCAAAATAGTTTGATGACTGCTGGGTTGAAGTGCGATGCTGACGGGTGTTTTCACTTATAGGCCAGTTTGTCATTCCGATCCAGAGCGCACTTAGCCAGCCATCTTGGAAGTGCGTGCTGTTATTTACTTATGGGGTAATCCAAAACAGGAGCATCATTTGGAATATGACTGTTAAAATTATGGATTTTTTTTCTGATTATAAGAATAATACATATGCATTATTCTTGAAAACTTGAAAGGTAGAAGGAACAACAACAACGAAACATAATCCCCACTCCCTGAAGATGATCAAAGAGTAACAAAATCTTTTGTGTCTGAAGAAACATTTTAGAGTGGGAAGGAGCAATCCTTAGAATTCATATTTGATGCTTTACTTTTCCTAAACCTAATCCGAATGTTCGCCAAATCTTATTGATTCCTTAGCAGATATGACTTTCCATTTCTTTTTTATTCCCATTACATTGTCTGAGTTGAGATCCTTCTTACCTCTTTCCTATAGTACTTCAATTTGAGGCTAAAGACTTTGTCTTTTTAATCTTTTCAGTAGTTTGAGAGAAGGGGAAGGAACTAACATTTACTGGGTGTCTCTTGTGTGTCTGCTGCTGTGCTAGACACTTCACATGCACGACCGCAGTTTTGTTTCCTCATGTTGATCTGATGAGGCTGGGAGGGAATTGATAGCCCCATTTCACAGATAGGGAACCATCTTAGGTATATAAAAGAATGTTCTCAAGTTCCCCAGTTAGTAGTAAATGGTGGGCTATTAATCAGGATCTATGCGTTTCACCCTGCGCTGAAAGACAGGCATGTAACAGACACATTGCAGCACAGCGTGATCTGTGATTTTAATAGAAGTCTGGACTGAGAGCTGTGTGAGTCAGCAAGGCTGTCTTGAGTGGAATCTCTAGAAGGGTAAGGGCTTGGTCTCTTGTACTTACCACTGTGTTCCTGTCCCTAAAATGCTGTCTGACAATGCTGGTAGGTGCTTGATAAATATTTTTTTTAATTAATCAGGAAACAATTGGGTGTTAATTGAATTATAGGCAGAGAATAACAGATGCCAAAAGAATCATGAAAGGTCCTTTGGTGTTTAGGGAATATTCAGGTGAGACAGGTAAACGTGCCGCCTGACTGATGTAAGTTAATAACGCAGCCTTAACATAATAAGGATAGCTTTTTTATCAATTCACAGTGATTTCTATTATGTGAAAAAGAAATAACCTTAAGTGATATAAGAAAAAAGTGAACAAGGCAAGTATTGCGAGCTCAAATTATCATGTTCTTATTATAAAATTATGTAAGAGTTGAGCTCATAGATTTATAAAAAGATAAAGGATTTGAAATAACCCCTTTTGTTTCTTATCCCTTAGAAGAAATACATGTGTATACTAAATCTAATATGAGAAATCCTCATACCTTTTTTTTTTTCTTTCAGTGACACTGGTACAGTAGCTCCAGAAAAATGCTTGTTTGGGGCAATGTTAAATATTGCTGCAGTTTTATGTAAGTAGTGAGAGTGGTTTTAACGATCAAAATTAATAGCTGAATTGCCCTTTTCTTCTTTCAACACTGTTGGCTTATTTATTTTACTTTCTAGTTACAATTGAAGGAATGTTATCACTAAATCATTGATCACAGATATGTTTCTTTTAAAGTAAAAATAATTTCTAGAAATGCTAAATTATGGAAATCTTGTAAAAATACCTATAAGGCTATTTGACTACTATAGAAATAGAACTTGTAAAGTATAACCAAATATACTTGCTTATAGAAGTTGTAAAGTATAACCAAATATTCCTTGAGGCCCTAAGTGGATTTCTTAAGCAACCAATAAAGGACAAAGAGCTGTAAACACACTGACCACAGCTGACCCCAACAAAATTCCTTTAAGATAAACACTTCAGAAGTTTGAGGATAGCTGTGGAACCATGTTTTGATTTTTGAGTGATATTCTAATGCCAAAGAAATTGAGTTCTACTACAGTATTTTACATTCCTGTTCATTATTTTTTGAAATTAATTAATTTATTTATTTAATTTTGGCTGTGTTGGGTCTTCGTTGCTGCACGCGGGCTTTCTCTAGTTGCGGCTAGTGGGGGCTACTCTTTGTTGCGGTGCGCGGGCTTCTCACTGCTGTGGCTGCTCTTGTTGCTGAGCCTGGGCTTGAGGCACATGGGCTTCAGTAGCTATGGCACTCAGGCTCCATAGTTGTGGCACACAGGCTTAGTTGCTCCACGGAATGTGAGATCTTCCCAGACCAGGGATGGAACCCGTGTCCCCTGCATTGGCAGGTGCATTCTTAACCACTGCGCCACCAGGGAAGTCCCTGAACCAATTTTTTTATTAATGGTTTACTAAAATAATACTTCTTCCATCAATCGTGATTGTTTAAAATGTTTGCATTTTTCCATATGCTGTTTATTATTTGGTCAGGTCAAACATTGAAGTTAAAAAAATGATTCTTAACCAATAAGGACAGTCAAGTGGGTTTTATTTTTCTGTGTAACTGACTGCTATATCTGATCGAGCCAAGTTGTAGTAATTTGAAATAAAATGAAATGGGAGCAAGGCAAATAATCCTTTGGTGTTTTTTGCCTTTCATTTTATACGTGTTCTAGAACTAATTACTTTAGACTTTAATGCTAATCATATAGAATATTTTGTGTTTTATGTAAAATTTATTTCTAGAGATTTTCAGAAAACATCAAACTTTATCTCTTAAATTTTTGCTAAATTTTTAAAAAATAAATAAATAAATTTATTTATTTATTTTTGGCTGCATTGGGTCTTCGTTGCTGCACGTGGGCTTTCTCTAGTTGCGGCGAGCGGAGGCTACACTTCGTTGTGGTACGCGGGCTTCTCATTGCGGTGGCTTCTCTTGCTGAGGAGCATAGGCTCTAGGTGCACGGGCTTCAGTAGTTGTGGCATGCGGGCTCAGTAGTTGTGGCATGCGGGCTCAGTAGTTGTGGCTCGTGGGTTCTAGAGCACAGGCTTGGTAGTTGTGGCGCACAGGCTTAGTTGCTCCGTGGCATGTGGGATCTTCCCAGACCAGGGCTCCAACCTGTGTCCCCTGCATTGGCAGGCAGATTCTTAACCACTGTGCCGCCAGGGAAGCCCTTTCCTAAATATTTTTAATATGAGGGCTACGGGAGGCAAACGACTTGCTCAGTCACACAGAGGTAGCAGTAGTTTCACAATGCAACCTTAAAAGTTCTTTAAAATCTACAGCCGTTTTTTTGTTTGTTTGTTTGTTTTTTATTGTTTTTTCTTCTATCAGATTAGCTTTAAAAGGAAACTATGTTTCTGGATAGCCGTGACCTTTGTGAGCTCTTTATTGGCAACTTTATTCCTTAGTTATTTATTACTTTGTTGTTTTTCCGATTATCTCTTCCCAGGCATTGCGACCATTTATGTTCGTTATAAGCAAGTTCATGCTCTGAATCCTGAAGAGAGTCGTATCATCAAATTAAACAAGGCTGGCCTTGTACTTGGATTACTGAGTTGTTTAGGACTTTCTATTGTGGCAAACTTCCAGGTTTGTGTTTTAGCTCCGCACAGGTATTTTCCTGAAGTACATAAAAATACATGCTAAGAAAGAAAACCTGAAAGATTCAGTTACATGTAGTTATTGTTTTTTGCCTTAACAAAATGGAATCCACTGCCTTTAAATTACTTGACCCTCTTAGAAATTAGAAAAATTCATTCTCAGTAATCTTCTGAACAAATACAAATTATTATAACTTTTTAAAGATCCTCGGGACTCTTTACTTACTAGATTCTTTATTACTACTTAGTTGGAGATTACTCTAAGACCAGAGAGAATTGACATAAATTATAAGTGACATAATTACAGACTTAAACTCTTTTTTCATTATGCCTAACAAGTTACACTCATTTACCTCTTTTATATTCTTGTTTAGATGTTCCTGTTTATTGCCTGCATCCCTAGGTGCCCAGCCACTTAAATGAGGAAGTCAAGGGAGGAGCTGTAGCTTTTCCAGTTTTTTTCTCAGGGAATTCTTTATGTTAAGGTAGCAGTCAGCCTTCAGCAAATATTTGTAAAGTCTCCGCGTTCCTTTCTACTGACGTTCTTTCAGAGGAGTCTTTGGTAATACCAGCTGCATCCTAAGCATATGGTGCTTTTTTTATTAATCCCTGCAGTCTTTAGAGTTTCAGTCTATACATTTGGTAACCTGTTTTGACATCTAGTAACTATCCAGACATACAGACACACCCTCATCATACAAATACATGTATAAAGGCATATTCCATCTCTCTTTTTTATTCAAAGTTCTCCATTCCTATAATGCTTCTGATTGAATGCTCCTATTTTTCAGTTTTTTAGTAATGGTTAATACTAGTAAACTCTATAAGTATAATCCAAGTGGATATTAGGGTAATGCTTGCTGCTATAACAAAGTCCAAAATTTCAGTGGCTTAACACGATTGAAGTTTGTTTAATTTTTATTGGAGTATGGTTGCTTTATAATGTTGTGTTAGCCGCCACTGCACAACAAAATGAATCAGCCATACACATACAGCACAATTGAAGTTTATTTCTTACATACATGCATCCAGTGCAGGTATTTTTGGTTGATAGATGGCCTTCCTCCCACGGTGATTTAAGGCCCAGACACTGTCCATCTTTGGGCCCTGCAATTCCCTAAAACTCTGTGGTCTTCTGCATCTAGCTGCCTGAAACAGTCAAAGAGAACATGCACAGTTCACCCCTACTTCTTAGAACCTTGGACCTGGCAGTGACTCGCATCATTCCACTGACATTCCTTTTTGCTAGATATAAGAGAGGCTGGGAAATGTAATCTTGCTGGGCATCAGTTCCCAGGGCAACTCTATACTATGGAAGGGACACAAAAACTTTTGCGGACAACTAGCTAGCTGTCTACCACAAATAGGGTCCTGCCTTCCCTAATCAGTTTGTATAGCTCAGTGTTTAAAAAACGCATTTGGAGGTTTTTAGTATATGCATAGTGATTCTTTGCTCCAGTTATCCCTTGATCAGTTTAACAATATCTCTCATGACTGTATGGTAAAAATGGATTCCAAAGTGACCTCCACATATAGCATACTACTCCTGTTAGTAACTGATACTTTTTTACACAGTCCAGTAAATTCCAATGGCAGTTCCTAATAGCACCCATTGCAAATTATTGCTGGACCCTATTTATAAGCAGACCCTGTAGCATTACCTACACATCAAACAGTTCTCCTTCCTTCCTTTCTAATGTAAACTTTCACTGCTTATTTAAAGTGGTGAATGCATTGTCTCTTTCTCCTGTCCCCACTTCTCTTTTGCAGAGACAAACTCTAGTTGATTCATATATGGAAAAATTGTACACAAACCAGGTCTATAAATGGTTTACAGTTAGCTTAACTTGGAAGAGAGGCAAGCACTTTGTTTTAAAGTAGGGACTTGTTGGTTTTATCTCTTAAATATTTCTTGAAAACATCTGCTTCTCTCCATTTTCATTTCTATTGTCTCTACCATCTCCTTCTCAACCAGTTTAGATTTCATCACCTCTCCTCTGGATTACTGCCCTAGCCTCCCTAATAGTTCCTCTGCATTCACTGTTACATCCCTTTAATTTGATGCCTCAGCCAAAGTAATCTTTTGGAAATATATGTACACCTCATTCTGTTTCCTTGTACCGCTGTTTAAAGCTCACAGGTCCAAGGTCACATGAAAAGAGATAGAATCAAGAGAGCAAAAAATAATTTGTTAAACTGCCAAACTGCTTAATTAACTCAGAGGTCTTTTGTGATCTGGCTACTATCTACCTGTCTGGCCTCATTCTACATCATTCCCCTCCTAATATTGTACATAACACGGGTCTTTCTGTGTTCCTTAAATAAGACCGGTTTACTCTGTTTCATACATTGTTTCTTCTGTTGCACGTTCCACAGCCCCAAGCCTAAGTAGATATAGGCAGACTATATTTCCTCGGGGAAGTCTTTTTTTGTCAATAGATTTCCTCCTATATATTTCAGGTTTTCTTTCTTTGTGTTCTCCAAGCCTCTGGAAACTAATTCTGTGCAGCACTTCTTATAGTCTAATTTTTTATCTATGTTTTTTAGATTTATTTAAAAAATTTTTAGTTGATATATTTCCACTAATTATAGCTCAGTGGTTTTGTTCACCATTGTATATCCAGCACCTAACATAGTACTTAGCACAAAAACTCTGACTTAAAAAAATACATATTTAATTTCTTTGAAAACAAGTGTGTATAAAAACATGCAGCAAGGGACTTCCCTGGTGACCCAGTGGTTAGGACTCCGCACTTTCACTGCTGAGGGCCCGGGTTCAGTCCCTGGTCAGGGAACTAAGATCCTGCAAGCCGCACAGCCACAAGAATAAAAAACATGCAGCAAAACAAATATGCGTCCTCAGTGCCTAGGAATATTTCCCTTCCTAATGTCTACTGAAATAAAAACATACAACGAGAGGGATGTGAGTTGCAGTTTTATCTGGGGACTTACTGAGGACGATAGCCCGGAGGCAGCCTCTGAGATAGCTCTGAGAGACTGCTCCAAAGAGGTTAAGGGGGGAGGTCAGCATATATGTGTTATTGGAGAAAGGGTACGTGCTGTCAAACACACATCTCAGTAGAAGGTCTCTGCTAGTCACAAGGCACAGATATCTTAGTTAATGATTTTAGTGCTTTTCTAAGTATGGGAAGATGCAAGAAATTGGGTTCATAAAATTGTCTCCTGAAAACATCTAACTGTCTGAAGGCCTGTTCTGCCAGTTTCCACAGAGCAGAGTGCCTCATTCCTGATCTCTGCCCTGAGCTCCTTTCAGAGTGTGTTGAAGGTCAATGACTACCGTGGCTAATGACTCAATCCTTGTAGGGCCAGATGGCGAGTGACATTCTTTAGTTGGCACTAGGATATTCATCCTCAAGGAAACTTGAAAGGGATAACTAGGCAGAAATCGATTTTAATTTTCTAGGGCTGTCATAACAAAATACTACAATTTGGGTGGCTTAAAAATAACAGAAATCTATTCTCTCAGAGTCCAGGAGGCCAGAAATCTGATATCAAGGTGTTGGTAGGGTTGGTTCCCTTTTGGGGGCTCAGAGGGAGAATCTATTCCATGTCTCTCTCCCAGCTTCTAGTAACTCTTGGCATTTCTTGGCTTGTGGCAGCATAACTCTATAATTTATGCCTCTGTTGTCACATGGCATTCTCCCTTCCTAGAAAATTTATCCTCATGGAGACTTTGGAAGGAATAAAGATTAGTTCTTAAATTTCGTTAACTGCTTTTAGGTGAAGATTACAGGCCACTCAATACATAGTTTTTAAGTTCTGTAGCAAACATTTGCCCCTGACCACACATATCTCTGTAATTTCTCTGTCTTTGTCAAAGAATACATTTTTGTCTTTGTTAAATGATATATTTTTAAAGAAGATAAAATCGTGACTTTTGTACATGTCAAAGATTGTATTTAATTTATTAATGAGAGGAATAGTAGGTAATACAAACCACTTCAAAAGAGAAATCAAAGTACCACACATTTATAGTCAGATAAGGAATGCTCAAATGAATTTACAGATAGAGGCAAAGCTAGCAAAACTGGTCATTATTCACAGAGTGATAGTCAATTTCATTCAATAGGACACAATATGCATTTCTATTCATATGGATTATTTGTGTTATTATGCATTTTCAATAAGTTAACTTTTGTTTATACACATAATATCCATCATTGCACAAGTTCTCTCTGCAAAATAGCCTAATCAAAGACAAGTAAAATTCACACTTCTGTGGAACCATTCCCAGAGGCTCTAGTATTCCATTGAAAGAATAATCTCTTGCCCGTTTCAAGATCTTTTGCTGTTTTCCTAGTCTCTAAAATGACAAAATTGAGTGGATTAAGCAGAAGTGCTGGGCAGTTAAAACCAGTTTTATATACCTCTCTTTTGATTATAAAAATACAGTAGTAAATGCCCTCCATTCTTTATTTTTCTTTTTAACTACAGGATTTTGTTGATGGAACTGTGTACTGATCACATGTGGGCATTGGTCAGGCTATATCTGTACTTAGCTTCATCAATATATGAATGAAAAACATTGCCTGCCATTTCAGTAAACAAAGGGTATTGCAGCCATCAAGCCACTACAGCCACCCGGGCAGTGAGCCCTGAGGAAACTCAGGATGGAGACAGATGGATGGCCTGCAGCCACCCACCAACAGTGCACCCTGAGGGGACTCAGGATGGGGCTGGATACTGGCCCTAGACAGCTAAGGTGCTTATCAATGGAATGATTTCAGTAAGCCCCGACTCTTGCATCTTTCCAAACAGAAAAGCACAAAATTAATTTGAGATACCTGGTTTTCTTTAACAGTAATCTTCTTTGTTGTAAAACTCCTGTATGTCCTGGCTCCTCCCTTTTGTCTTGAAGCAGTCCCTTAGAGCCATGTGAGAGGCTGCCTCTTGGGCTTGAAGTCTTCAGAAAGTCTGCCAAATAAAATATAATTCTCAACTTTTAGGTTGTGTTTTTTTTTCTCCTCAGTCGACAAATATATGCGAGAATATTTTTAAGGAGAAAAATTCACCCATATTCTTGCTCTTAGCCCTAAAATAGTCAGTTTCATTTTTTGCAGCCTTTATCCATATATCTACATATATAGGTAAATTCACATGAACCAAGAAGATATTACCATTTTGTATTATGTTTTATGGGTGCTGAATGTTTTTTTTTCTTTGTTACCCAGAGTGGTAGTAACAATGACTTTTTTTCCCTTCCCAATGCTCATAACTTATTGCCAGTTAAAACACCCCAAACCTTATCGAAGTAGCACTTTCTCTCTCCAAAAGGAAACCAATGCCATTGGCAAATAAATTGTTACCTCTTCTTTCTTTTTTTTTTTTTAACATCTTTATTGGGGTATAATTGCTTTACAATGGTGTGTTAGTTTCTGCTTTATAACCTTTTATTTCTTTATACTAGAAACTTCTTGCACCTTCAACTAAAAAAGTGGACTCTATGTGAATTAGCACAGTTGATTGTAGAAGGAGGGAACCAACCCCTAACCTAACCTCTCTTCTCCTGTTACCTTCGTCATACCCTCTTTACCAAGTGCTGCATAGTACCTTCTCAAGCAAATGACATACAGACAGCATCAGTTTAGAAAAATACAGTTCAACCAAAGGCCTTTGATAGTAGAATTTTTGGTGAACTACTGTCATCACTTTTCAACAGGGACATATAGAGTAAAATGTAAATGGATACTGATAAGAGTAAGGCAAAGGAAAAAAAATAATTAAAAAGTGAAAAGAAAGAGTAAGGTAAAGGAGAAGATAACTACAATTTATGGTAATCCCTCATTGTATAATTTATCAAAACCAATCAAACTAGAGACAAGGGGGGATGTTTTAATTTCTTGAGCCTTTAAATTGCATTTAGATTTTAATTAGGTTTAAGTTGAGACTCCCTACCCTCTGCATTCCCAAGCATCCTAGTCTTCTTCAACTTGTTCTACTCTTTCTATAACCCATATCACCATTTAGTATACTATGGAATTTACTTATTTCTAAAATTTATTATTTAATGTGTAAATGAATAATTACTATCATGTTTTCAGTAGTAGCATATGAAGTAATATGGATTACTGTAATTCTCAGGTTTATGCTGAGTACTGAGGGAAAATTACTTCAGGAAATAATTTGTAGAATCTGCAGAACTTTTCCACTCAGTGAATGTCCTATTGAAATCGCTGGGCTTGTGCTTTTAAATATTGTGTTGTCGATGCGTTTGGGGTTTCTTTTATTTACTTATTTCTTCCTTTTACTTCTCAGAAAACCACCTTTTTTGCTGTACATGTATGTGGAGCTGTGCTCACCTTTGGCATGGGCTCATTATACATGTTTGTTCAGACTATCCTTTCCTACCAAATGCAGCCCAAAATTCACGGCAAACAAGTCTTCTGGATCAGACTACTGTTGGTTATCTGGTGTGGAGTAAGTGCATTTAGCAGTATCCTTTGCTGTAGAATGTGGCTACACTTGGAATTGAATAACAAAACTTAAGTGAACATAGTTGGCATATCGTAAGTAGGCCTTTTGTGGGTGATATTCTTGGGTTTAGTAAACCCTAAATTAAAGAATTTGAAACGTGAAATTCAAATTTTTACATGGGACCTAGTGACTGAGCTAGAAACAAAGATGATGTCTAGCCTAATCATACTTACTTCAAAGACAGGAAGGATTAGTTAGTGCCCTCCTTGAGAACAATTATGTAGCAAAAGCTTATGATAGAACTAATGAATTATTGAGCAAAGAGGGATTGACTATGCATCATAGTAATCTTCTGGGCACATTTTAAATTTTACTACTGCCATGTAACATGATGTCTTCAAGAAATGGGTTTGGACCTTGGAAACAAATGTATGTGTAATCCTTTTATATCTTTAAAGAGATTTTTGTTTTGTTTTAAATTAAACTTACAGGTCTTCCCTGAGATTCTTCCTTGACTTACTTTTTTTACAGTGCTGACTTGTTCATCACTTTTGTACAGTGGCAGTTTTGGCGCTGATATAGTACAGAAACTCCATTGGAATCCTGAGGACAAAGTAAGAACTGAGAGTCTATAAAACTTAGCTTTATAGTAAAGATGACGGTTTTGGTTGATTTTGATGTATTTTTCATTTCACTACTAACAATAAAAGTTTTTCAGTAGAAAAATCGGTGATGTCTTAGGATTATTTTCTATAAATGATAGAGTTTATGTAGAACCATCCACATTCTCCTGTCACTTTGTGGTCTGTGAACATTTTCAAAATCTGAAGAGAATTGTGATGGCAAAGAGTTTTCTCAGAAATTGACTCCTCTAAAGGTGGATATAGTATGCAATATACCTGACTGAAATCTTTTATTAGTAGAATACTTGTTTTCTGAATTGAAAAAAATTTATTTTCCTACTTTTTGTTATCTGGAAGTTTATTATTATGGACTCTGCATTTGGGTTCCAATATAGTGGATATCTGAATGGACATAGCATCTCTGATACTGAGAAAAAGCGAGGTGGGACATATACTTGAATAGGTAATAAAATGAGTCCATCTGTTTTCACAAACCACTCAGGTGGCATTTTATTTTAAATTATTTTTAAAGAATCAGCCCTAGATAGGACATGTTTGTGAGAATGACTAAATGAAATAATTTACTAGCTTCTCCTAATTAGAATCCATATATTATTTAATGCTCAAAAAATAGCACTAAGTTTATCATGAGCATCGTTTACTTAAACTTTTTTTAGTGGCATTTAATGACTCGTGGCTTTGGGAAAGGTAGTAACTTCTTGGTTGTAGAGTAGAAGTTCTCCTGTCTTAGTTATTCAAATGAAAATTTTATTTGCTGTGGGTGAAACTATGATAGATCATTTAGGACTATTTCTAATGTCTGCCTTTAATTCTAGAGATATGTTAAATAAACCAGGGGTTGATATTCAGAACGCAGATTGGTTTATAAATATTACAGGTTTTTTATTTGAGAAAAATTATAGATCATTTGAATGAAATTTCATAGAATTATTCTTTTTTTGTTGTCACTTAAGGGTTATGTGCTTCACATGATCACTACTGCAGCAGAATGGTCTATGTCACTTTCCTTCTTCGGTTTTTTCCTGACTTATATTCGTGATTTTCAGGTAAGAAAATGTAGAATTAGATTTATGCAGTCAAACCTCCTTCAGGTGGAATAAGAAAGCTTTCTATAGCAACTCTTGCCTTTTTGAAAATTAACTTCGTAAGCAGTGATGCTGGAAGAGGAACTTCTCAGGTGAATTGTTTCTGTGTTTCGAGAAATAGTGTTTTGTTAGCAAGGTCCAGTCTTGAAAATAGGGTTGTAAAACAACTGAATTTGCAGAAATTCAGAGAACTTTTATCAACTCTGCCTACATTTACATAGGCCATCCTCAACATTTAGTTTTACCGATTCCTCATAGAAACCAAAGAACACCAAGGAACTTCTGAGGAAAGAAGCTTATTTTTCCCATTTCTGTTGGTACTACAGCAGTACAACAGCTGTCTCTCTCTTGTTACTCATTAGAATTGATTTACATTCCTAATCCCAAAAGGTATTCCTCAGAAAATATTGAACATGTGATCTGTCTTTAAGGAGCAAACTTCTGTATGTAATGTTCTTTTCTGTTCCAGAAAATTTCTTTACGGGTAGAAGCCACTTTACATGGATTAACCCTCTATGACACTGCTCCTTGCCCTATTAACAATGAACGAACACGGCTACTTTCCAGAGATGTATGATGAAAGGACAAAATATACCTATGGTGATTATGATTCTCAGGGATTGGGGAAATATTCATGAAAGTTACTTATTCTGCTCTGAAATTTTCAACCAGTTAATCAAGGCTGACAGTGATATCAAAGAATCCTGATAATCAAGAGACATGAATTAAGCCATTTGATGTTGTTTTAAAGGATATCTTCAAGAGGACTGTGAAAAAACATTTATGCCTATACTTTTTTATCCCAGAAAATAAAACCAAAGGACTACAAAATTGTAGATTTTTTTCTACTTTTTTAAGAGAAACAACCAGAAGTGCACCAAGCAGTCTGCAAAATCCAGCTTTTCACATTTTAAAAAACATTACAAATCATATTTTGTTTGGAGCACTTATGTGAGATATGTTTCAGGACCCCAAATAATCAGCAGTGCTCAACAGCTCCTTTAAAATTGGGCTTTGAAGTAATAGTTTTACCATATTAATACATTTCTTATAGTGTTTATAAAATTTATTTCGTCTGGAATCCAACTTTAAAGGGAAGCAGACCTGAATTCATGTGAGCACTTTTATTGCTTAAGCTTTGCACAAGAGATTCTGTAGATATTGATTTGATTCCTGCCACAAGGCCAGATAGTATGCTAACTGGTGTATACACATGCTTGTGATAGTTTCATGAAGCTTAGTCTCTGATATGAGATTTTAATTACTAATGAATGAGAAAAGTAGCTATAGGTAAATTTACTCCAGTTGTGTTTTGCATAAGGCAATGGTTAGTGTTCCTACACAAGTCTGAGAAGTTTGTGAATAACAGTAAGTATAATTAAAATAAAAGTCACCTCAAACTGCACTCAAGAGTGAAGATTTTCATTTATAGCAAATTATAATTACTTGAAAAAGCAGCCTTGAACAGGCAAATGGTGAGCCTTTTTTAATGGGATGTGATCTTTATATTATACAACCCAAATTCTAAAGGACAATATCAGCAATCCAGAAAAACTAGGTACAGAATAATTGTGATACATGCATCTACCAAAATAATTTTCTTTCTCTCTGGTCATGCAAGTGATTGGATAGTTTCTACTTGGATCCTTATCTGTGCAGATAGAGAATGGTTTACAGATGCCAGATAAAATTCAAAAGAAGAAAATGCTCATCTGGAAGTGCCCAGTGACAAACTGGTTTGCAAAAGAATCTCTGACGAAGATTAACAAGTTTTATCTTTTTAGAAGAATTGGGTCCATAGCCAGAATAAAAGATAGTAAGAAAAAGTTTAAAGTGTAAGAGGGAGCAATTTTAGGAAAAATGGTTATATGGTGAAAACGTAGATCTCAATTATGAAAAGGTTGCTAGTTATAGGACTCTAAATAGTATTTCTGAAGACTTCTGGACTCAGAGAAAACGGAATAAAATACTGTTTAGCTATTTCAAGCAACAGTGAACATGGGAGACATTTCAATAAACATTGATTGAAATCTGGCATCACTAGAAAAAAGTTGTCAATACAAACCATAAAACATTTTTATCATGCCTCAGAAAATCATGGTGCAACCACATCTGGGAAACAGCATCTAGTCCTGATTGCTGTCCCTCAAGGAAATGTAATTCCAAGTTGTGAAGGACCATGGTATGGTAAGAGGGAAATTGATAGAATCAAAGTTTATAAGATTATAAATTATGTGTGGGGGGGATGGCACAGGGAAGCACATGGACTTGTACATCCATACTAGAACATTAGACTTAGAGGTATATTAACAACATTAAATTATTTTAAAACAAAAAATACTACTTGGATAGTATTTTAATTCCATTATTTAACTTTTACTTTTAGAAATAGCATGGGCTGAAAATATGAATAAGTTCAAAAAGGGATTATAAATAAAGAGATTTTTGAATGTGCCTTCATCCCTCATCTTAAGGCTGAATTAGTGGAAGACAACCATATCCTACCTCAAAATATGCCTTGCCACCACTGTCAGATATAGTAGCTTGGATGAACGGTTAAGGTAGTTCAATTCAATCAATTTTGTTTTGAATGTTTGGCCTTTAGAATAGGAGGTTTTAAGCTGACAAAATTAGCAGATATTTCCTATGTCCTTGGAGACACAGCAAGACTGCATTTCCCTCTTAATTAAGTATAGGCATAAAACCAAATTTTAGCCAGTGAAATGTAAATGAAATGGATGCGTTTGCTATTTTCATATTAAGGTTTTGAAAAACAGGAATGCTCTTTCCCAGTTTTTTCTCCTTACACCATTTGTATATTGATGACAACAAGATTTTTAGGAAATGGCAGAATCACACGTAGGAGCTTGAACTAGTCCACTTTTTTTTTTTTTTTTGCGGTACGCGGACCTCTCACTGTTGTGGCCTCTCCCGTTGCGGAGCACAGGCTCCAGACGCGCAGGCGCAGCGGCCATGGCTCACAGGCCTAGCTGCTCCGCAGCATGTGGGATCTTCCCGGACTGGGGCACGAACCCGTGTCCCCTGCATCGGCAGGCGGACTCTCAACCACTGCGCCACCAGGGAAGCCTGAACTAGTCCGCTTTTGATCAGATTTTAGAATACCAAACTAAAGATCTAACATAATTTAAGAACTCTGTTTTTGTTTATCCTAATTCCTAAGATTATATTGTATATTTCTAGAATAGTGTCATATTGTAAATGCGCGATGGATTTATGAATGAGAAAGACAACTTTTCTTGTCTCTTGTGCAGTGTTCTCTACAGATTCACTGTGAAATGAAGTTGAGTAAATGTTGGATTACTGTCCTTAATCTTGCCTTTTTTCAACCAGCCAGAGTGCTGGTTTTAGAAACAGCGTGCTCATTTATTAAGAAGACAAGGATGTAGAATAGACCTAAAACAAAGGAAAACTCTTTCTGAGGCATTATGGGTCTTAACAATGTAAACAGTTGTATCCTCCAAAAGGCATGGTAATCTGAAATAGAGTTCACCTGAGAGTTCACCTACTCAGAAGGCCTGATCGGAGTATAAAGAGAATGCCTCAGAAATTCTAAAATATGCAGTTGGAATGTAGTGCAGAGGGAAATTCCCCATGTTTGGATAGCTGGCAGCTCAACTGAAAAGCACAAAGGTTCCAGTAGAATCTCACAATGACCAGATCCCAATCCCTGCTGAAAGGAAATCCTGTTCACTTCAGATGTTTGAAGCAAGTAATAAAGTGAATCAAACTAGAACAATAACAAAGCTCATCTCCACCTCAACTGCAAATCGTATTAACTCAGCCTCCCATTCTATAAACGTGACAAAAAAACAGGCATGACCCTTTTGAGAGGCAACTATTATTTTTACACCTACTGTTCTTTTATAGAAAATATGCAGCATACAGTAAGAAATTATAAAGACATGCAAAGGAGCAGAAAAGTTTGATCCAGACAGGAAATAGTCAATAGAAGCAAACTCAGATTGCCCAGGTGTTGCAGTTATCAGAGGTGGATAACTATGATAAAAATGCTGAAGGAGCTGATAAAAAGAGTGGAAAACATGCATGGAAAGGAGAATTTCAGCAGACATGTAGATTTTGAAAAACAAAAAAGAAAATTCTAGAATTGAATATAATATGACTACACAGAGGAAAGGATTGATAAACTTGAAGACAGGGTAATTGAAAGTATAAAAACTGGAAATCAGAAAAAAATAAAAAGAATTGACTATCTGAGTTTTGAAGACAAAATTAAATGGTCTTAATCTTATAATTGTGTTTCAGAAGAAGAGGATAGAATGGTATTGAAGAAATGTTTGAAAGATATTGACTGAGATCTTGTGCAGAATTGATGGAAATTAACAGAAAATCAACAAAATCAAAAGTGAGGTGTTGGAAATTATAAAATTGATAAACACCTAGCAAGACTAATACATTGTGTTGAATAGTATTCCCCCAAAAGTCATGTCCATCCAGAAATTCAGAATGTGACCTTATTTGGAAGTAGGACATTTGCAGATGTAATTAGTTGTGATGAGATCATACTAGATTAGAATGAGCCCCTAAATCCAGTGAATTGTGTTTTTATAAGAAGACTGCATAGAAACAAAGAAACAGAAAAGAAGGCCAAATGAAGACAGAGGCAGAGATTAGAGTTATGCAGCCTCAAACCAAAGAATGCCGAAGATTGCCAGTAACCAGAAACTAGGAAGAGGCAAGGAAGGATCCTTCGCTACAGCCTCTAGAGGGAGCCTTGATTTTGGATTTCTATCCTCCAGAAATATGAGAGAATAAATTTCTTTTGTTTCAAGCCACCCTCTTTATGGTGACTTGTCATGACATCCTAGGAGGCTTTAAAAAAAATTAAAAACAGAAAACACATGACTAATATTGGGAATGAAAAGGACATCACTACATAGCCTATTGACATTAAAGATAGGAAGAGCATGTTATGGACAAGTTTATGCCAATAAATTCAACAACTTATGAAATGGACAAAAGCCTCTTGAACCGTAACTTGTCAAAAGTGATGCAAGTAGAAAAAGAAAATCTAAAAAAAGCTCCATATTTATTAAAATTTTGAATTTATAATTACATATCTTTCCCAAAAGAAACTCCAGGCCTTGATTATTTCACTGTTGAATTCTGTCAAATATTTAAGTTAAAAATAATATTAAGTTCACAAATTCTTTCAAGAAATAGAGAGTTTTTCAACTTGTTTTATGAAGCCAGCATAACCCTGGTAAAAAAACTTGACAAATATGAGAAAAGAAAAAGATTACTATCTCTCATGAATATAGATGTTAAGAATACTTAATGAAATAGTAGGAAATAGAACTTAGCAATGAAAAAAAAGATAGCATGACTAAGTGGGGTTTATTCCAGCAATATAATTTGCCACATTAACATAAAGGAGAAAAACAGACACAAAAAATTGACAAAATTGAACATTCTTATTGAAAATTTCCAGCAAACTAGAAATAGAATTCCACCACTTGATAAAGTACATCTATGAAAATCTAACAGCTAATAACATAATTAATGGTTTAATATTAAATCCTTTTCACTTAGGATTGGAAAGAAGGCAATCTTCTTTTTTTTTTTTCTTTTGCGGTACGCGGGCCTCTCACTGTTGTGGCCTCTCCCGTTGCGGAGCACAGGCTCCGGACTCACAGGCTTAGCAGCCATGGCTCACAGACCCAGCTTCTCCGCGGCATGTGGGATCTTCCCGGACCGGGGCGCAAACCCGTGTCCTCTGCATCGGCAGGCAGACTCTCAACCACTGCACCACCAGGGAAGCCCAAGAAGGCAATCTTATTTGACATTGCAATAGAAGCCCTAGTTAATACAAAAAGGCAAGAAAATGATTAAGAGACAAGGAAAAATGGTTGTATATTTACAAAATCCTATGTAATTTTCAAAACTAATTTTGGACTAATAGGTGAATTTAGAAAGGTCACAGGTTAGAAGTTCAATAATAATGATAAACTGCAGTTCTATATTAACAATGAACACTTGAAAATTAAAAGAATGCTATCTACAATAGCATAAAAGTCACATACCTCAGAATAAATCTAATGATCAATGTATAAGACCTTTACACTGAATACTACAAAAGTTGCTGTGAAGAATTTTAAAATCCCAAAACATTTTTGCCATGTTCATATATCAGAAGACTCAATATAGTTAAGATGCCCACTCTCTATTTGTTGATCTGTGGGTTTAATGTAACCCCTAACAAACTTCCAGCAGGATATTTTGAAGAAATTGACAAGCTGATTGTAAAATTTAGAAATTCACAGCATCTAGAATAGTCAAAGCAGTCTTGAAAAGATTGCACACTATCTGATTTGAAGATGTATCATAATATTAAGACAATGTAGTTATTGACATAAAGATAGATAAATACACCAGTGGAATGGGATTGAGTCCTAAAATAGGCCGCACATACATAG